TGACGGGTTACTGGGGGGGGGGGGGGGGGGGGGGGTGTCACCGTTCTCCTACACAAACCCAGGAGAATCATCTGTGTCACTGGTTGTTGTTCAGAGCGATCAGACTGAGCAGTTTTTCTTTTTTTTACCTGTTGCTCACAAATCTGGATGAATAAGAGAAGAACAAAAAACACAAAAACCTCACAATCAAGGACTAGAAATTGGATTTCTGTGTGTACTTAATGTACTGGAGAGTTTTACTGTGGAGTTTAGAAAGACATTGACAGAGTACTAGTACATTTGTACTTTGCTATTCCTCCTTTTATCTCAAAAATACAAGTTTAAGATGATATACAGTATGTATATATATATATATATATATATATATATGATCTTACTGATATTGTATGTGTAATACAATATCTTCAAGTCTTCAAGTCCACCTGTTGACAACACACTGAACAACAGTTGTTTTTTTTATTGTACTTCCTGGTTCCTTGTCGTTGTGATCAATACAGCCACATGTACAGACTCTGGTCTTTATTAGAACCATATTCAACTTGTGCAAATAGGCTTTCAAGTATTTTTTTTTAATAGTAGTAGTTTTTTTATTTTCATACAATAAATATTTTTGCTTGTGCAAATAGGCTTTCAAGTATTTTCTTTTTAGTAGTAGTAGTTTTTTTTAATATTCATACCATAAATATTTATGACACAAGATCAAATTAGACGAAGGTGAAGATCCTGGAGGTTAATGATACCAAAACAAAAGAAATCTAAAGAAGAACAAGTGGAATAGAAATAAGAAGAGTGAAAATAGAAATGAATCAAACGTGTTACAGCAGAATGGAGCAGTGTTGTTGTTCCAGAAAAGTGTCACACAGTGTGTGTGTGTGTGTGTATATGTGTGCAGTTGGACTGGTATAAGCTGGTTTGTACATACATACCCTATACTGGTAAAATGACTGAGATTGCTGTCAGGTCATGTGACCTATTGTGTGTTTTGCTCAGCCAGGGAGGGCAGAGGAATGTAGTCTGTGTGCTATTCTAGGCCTCACTAGCTGCAGCTGGATGTGTGTGTGTGTGTGTGTGTGTGTGTGTGCACCGCCACCCTGCAGATGTACATATCTTCTGATAGCCCACTTCAGGACAATGACCTCTTGCCTTCACTTGCAAATGAACAGAAGTGCTCTGGGAGAGTGAGTGGATCTATTGTCGGGGGAAGTTGTCTATAAATGGCCGACCAGCAGCAGGCGTTTGTCATTCTCTGACATTGTCCAGCCACTCCAGGCTGCCGGTAATAAGCCACTCCCAGGTGTTGTGTTTGGAGAAACTCACCCAGCCAGTCTGTCAGTCCAAACACAACACACCGCGGCCGACATTTGTTTTTGTTGTGATGCCACTCAGACACACGTGGACGACGCGGTGTCTCACTGTCCGACGATAATGTACGTGGGGAAATAACTCTGCTGTCGTCCACTGAGTCTGAGTGGGTTTGTTGTTAAAAGTGAGGATAGTTTGGTTGGCCAAACCTCTGGTTCTCTCCGGTCGAATTACTGTAGAGGGCTATATATAGATATAGATAAATAGATATACACCTAACCCTTCACAGCGTCTGCCTACACCCTGACAACTTCACTCGTCCAGTTTATGAAAGTTTTTTGTCACCAGAGAATTCAGATATTTCTGTGTTGATATTTTCTGTTGTGTTAAAATTAGAATAAGTTAAAGTTCACGACGAATTTAACAAATTAAATATCAACCAGAACAGACTCTGACAAAGATAAGTCACGTTGTCCAGAAATGAAGATAACTCTCTCTCTCTGTCTCTCTGTCTCTCTGTCTGTCCCTCAGGGAGGGGGAGGGTAGTAATTGTTCTGGTAATGAGTCACTATGAATACTACCAAGGCTTCCTTCTCCACCCCAACCACCAATCAGCAGCCGCTGTTCAGCTAAGCAGCTGAGAAAAGGCAACAAGCTTGAGTCAAGGCTAACAGGGTGAGAGTGGGGGAGGGTCTGACTCAAACATACCACGTGGGGGCAGGGAGGAGGTTGTGGGTGAGAGACGTTGGAGGAAACTGCCACTCACGGACTCGAGGCCACAAGTGGGGAGGGGCTGAGCCTGGGAGAAAGTAGTGATTAGGTGGAGCGGGGGTGGGTCAGAGCGAACCGTAAAAAAGGAAGTTCTCCAACAACATTTGTTCTTGTTTTATGTCCAGTTTGATGACTGAGAAACCGACGTCCCCCGTCCCCCGCGTGGAGGGACAGATTCAAACCTCTGACTCTGTGACACGACCACAGTCCTGCAGCAGGACGGACCCGTGACAGTGTGTTTTTAAACCTAACAACAGACGATGACGTGGTGTTTGTGTTTGTGTTTGCGTCCAGTCGTCCAGAGCGTCCAGTCGTGTTGAGGTTCCGCGGCCGCTCCATCACATGGAAACAGACACGAGGGCTGCCGTCACATCAGGCCTTAAAAGTTACCAGTGACCACATGAGATCTCATCTACACCCCCCCTCCTCTGACCCCCCCCCTGCCCTCGACTCTCTGACTCCACACACACACATACACACTTTGTATTCAAATACACAATGTCATGTCTGTTCCCAAAAACAAAGACTTGCTTTTATTAAAAATAATTACACAAATGTGTACAAAACTGCAGTAAAAATTAAAAATAGACTGAGTACTGGTGAGTACTGCAGGTTTTAACCATCATGAAGTAAACAATTCATTAATGAGGGTATTAATAAGAATCAATAAATAAATGACCAGGTGACCAGTATCAACCAGCACTGGACCCTACTATGGTACATTTTACTGTACAGTGGGGCTTCAAGATACCAGCTTAACTGGTTCCACAACAGCGTTCTTCAGGGAGCTGGTGTCATGAAGCACCACTGAATATTTAATTGTCGTCCTAAAGAAGGTTTTAAGATTTAAATAATGAATTAAGGACAGGTTTTGTTGACGATCAATCAAAGCTTCTTCTTCTTCTTCTTCATCAGATCCTGGTCCTGGGCTGCTGGTGTGGACCAGAAGGACACGAGACTCAGCAGGTGGACCGACGAAGACCAGGTTCAGACGAGACCGTGGATCAGCAGCTCGGAGTCGTCAGACCAGAACACTTGGACACTGGACGTCGGTGAAGGACCGGATCTCAGGTGAGTTCCTCGATGTTTTCACTGCAGACCAGAGTCTGTTTCCTCTGTTTCCTCACTTCATCTGGTGTGGACTAAACTCTAGTGCACATGAGAAGTGGGTCTCAGTTCATTTACAACACTGTGCTGCAGTGGTGGTTGCAAACAGAAGATCCGGAGAGAGGAAGTGATGTAGCTGGTGTTGCATTCTGGGTGTAAAAAAAAAAAAAAAAAAGCTACATCAGAAAACCTACGATGTTAGTGACTCTCTTTTTGGGGGCTTTGTCTTTCTTGGTCTGTCCATATATTGCTGCAATACCATGCCAAACCATTAGCTGGCAGTGTGAAAGGGAATCTAATTGACGAAAGCTCTAAATTTCCCCCCCTATCAAACCAAACTGCTCTGACTCCACTGGTGGGAAAATTCTCTGAGTCACTGCAGGCGAAGCTCTGCAGCTGCGTGGACCGGTGTTGGGTGGAGGTGGAGGTGGAGGTGGAGGTGGAGGTGGAAGAACAGCCGACCATGACAGTGTCTGTACTTACAGCTGATCACCGTGGTGACTGACTGCAGTCTAATAAATCTGTCCTCTGAACCTGCTCTCGTCCCGGCCCCTGCGC